GATTAGGCACACCTTTGTATCTAGATTGACATTGTTGCTCTTCAGCACTCTGGAGAGATCCAAAACAGCAGATTTTCCCAATGCAATTTGTCTTTTGATTTCTTGACTGTTGGTGTTAAGAGTGTTGATTGTGGATCCAAGCAAGCTGTAATTGCTAACAACCTCAATCTCTTCTCCATCCAATATGGAGCTGCCAACTGGCTCAGTGGTGAGAATCTTTGTCTTCTTGATGTTGAGCTTCAATCCATATTGAAGACTACTGTCCTTGACCTTTTGCAGCAAGTGCTCCAGGTCTTCTTCAGTTTCAGCAAGCAAGGTTGTATCATCTGCATGTCTTAGGTTGTTAATAAGTCTTCCCCCAATCTTGATGCCACACTCCTCCTCATAAAGCCCTGTTCCCCGAATGATCTGTTCTGCATACAGATTGAAAAGGTATAGGGACAGGATGCATCCCTGATGCATTTCTTTCCTGATTTTGAACCATGTAGTATTTCCTTGCTCTGTGCTGAGGACTGCTTCTTGGTCCAAGTATAGGTTTCATATAAGCACGATCAAGTATTCCGAAATTCCCATTTTCCTCAAGGTTAGCCACAATTTATTGTGATCTACACAGTCAAATGCTTTTGCATAGTTAATGAAACACAGATAGATATTCTTCTAGTACTCTCTGCTCTCCGCCAAGATCCATCTGACATTGGCAATAATATCCCTAGTGCCATGACATCTTCTAAACCCAGATTGTATTTCTGATAGTTCTCTGTCAATGTACTGTTCAAGTCTTTTCTGGACAGTCTTCAGCAGGATTCTGCTAGTGTGTGTTATTAGTGACAGTGTTTGATAATTTCTATACTCTGTTGGATCACCTTTTTTTTGAATGGGAATAAATAGGGATTTCTTCTAGTCAATTCGCCAAGTAGTTATCCTCCAGATTTCTTGGCACAACTTTGTGAGCACATGCAAGGCAGCATCTGTTTGCTGAAATATATCAATTGGTATTCCATCAACTCCTGGGGCTTTATTTTTTGCCAAATCCTTGAGAGCAGCCTGAACTTCCTCTTTCATCACAATTGCCTCTTGATCATATGTTGTTTCTTGAAATTCTCCTGTGTCAGCCAATTCTTTTTGGTACAATGACTCTGTATACCACTTCCATCTTCTTTTAATGTTTCCTGAATCCTTCAATATTTTGCCCAAAGCATCCTTAAGCATTGCAACTTGTGGCTTAAATTTATTCTTTAGTTCTTTCAGCTTCAGAAGTGCTGAGTGAGTTCAGCCCTTTTGGTTTTCCAACTCCAGCTCACTACACATTTCATAATAATATTTTGCCTTGTCTTCCCGAGCAGCCCTTTGAAATCTCCTATTCAGCTCCTTAACTTCTTGATTTCTTCCCTTTGCTTTTGCAAAAGAGTACCTTTTACAGAACAGAAAGTAGATTAGACTCTTAAAGTCTCTTCCCAGTATAAAACTACAGTACCTTCTTGTGTGCTGGGCTGTTAACTGAAAGATTGACTGGTTGCTCCAAGGGAGAAAGAGTCTCTTCCTGTGAATAATTAGCCTCAGAAACTCAATGGAAGGTTGTCAGGATAGAAACTCAACGGAAGGTTGTCAGGATTTGGCACCAGGTTCAGTGTTTTGGTTTCCAAGTGTAAAGTCAAACTCCACAGATAGAGCTGGACTAGGCTTCTCTGATTAACACCTGCATGACTTCAGGCAAGTAACTTAATTATCACTGTACCTCCATTTCCTCATTTGCAAAATGAGGATAATAAGTATACCTCACTCAAAGGACTGCTGTGAGATTCTAATAAATCAGCATGTAAAGGTATCTGAGGCAGTGTGTGGTACATTTTAAGTATCATATAAATGTTGACTATTAAGATTACTGTTTTAACTGTATATTCACATACAGTGTTATGTGTCTGAACAATGTTTACATATGTTCTAGTGATCTATTTGAGGATCGTGTGCTTGCTTGTTTTTTCTTTCCCTCCCTCCCTTCCATCCTTCTTTCTTTCTTTCTTCTTCCTTCCTTCCCTCTCTGTCCTCCCTCCATCCTTTCTTTCTTCCTTCCTTCCTTCCTTCCTTCCTTCTTTTCTTCTTCCTTCCTGCTCTCTGTCCTCCCTCTATCCATCCCTTCCGTCTTTTCCTTCCTTCCTTCCTTCCTTTTCTCCCTTCCTTCCTTCCTTCCTTCCTTCCTTTTTTCTGTTGTGTACCATCAACTCAGATTTGATTGGCACAGGAGATTGCTCCGGTGGATTTGAACTGCCACCTTCAGGTTTGCGGCACAAATTCTTGCCATAAGTCCACCAGAGCTCACTTGAGTGCACATTTTTAATGTCTTAGATGTTCTCCCATGAATACAGAATTCACTCAAATAGTAAATATAGCCTACTCTTCTCTGAATTACTGAACTAGACATTGCTTATGAGTTGGAACAGACTCATAGCTGACCCTCCAATAGATTTTCAGAGGCTGAAAATAAAAGGAAAGAGATTGCCCTTCTTCCACAGAACAGCCAGTGGATTTGAATTGCCTGCTTTGGAAATGACAATACAAACCCCTATTCACAGGCCACCAGAGTTCCCTTTTTAAAGCTGTTATTGGGTGCCACAGAGTCAGAACCAACTCATAGATGACCCTCCATTGGGATTTCAGAGGCAGTACATCACCGAGAGATATGCCCTTGTAACAGAAGATGAAAGCCTACCAATGAGCTCCTAATAATGCTTTGCTTACGTACCTTTTTTGCTTCATGCCATCCTCCCCCCGCACTCCTTCCTACTTCCATTCATAGCTGTCTAGGAAGTTCCGATGGTATAGTCAGCGAGCTATGATGCTTATCCAAACGCTGTACCTCTCTGGAAGTCTGAACCCACTGACTTCTTGAGAGAAAGATAGGCAATCTCCTCCTGTGTAGTTGACAGTTTCAAAAACTTGCTGGAGGGTCAGCTATGAATTGATTCCAACTCTAGAACAATGAGTTTGAGTTCTCAATGCTGCTGTTGTTGTTGTTGTTACCTGCTGTGTAAGCGAGTATAACTCAGAGCAACCCATGAGCAGCAACCTAAACCCTGCCCTATCCTGTGCCATCCTCATAATTTCTGACACACTAGAGCCAATCGCTGAAGTCATTGTGTCAATCCATCTTGTCGGGGACCTATGTCTCCTTCACTGGCCCTCCATCTTTCCAAGCACGAAACCCCTTT